TAAATAATTACCTACACTATTTTGAGGGGTTCCGTACTGTAGTTATAGTATAATGGGCCCCAAAACCCTATTCTAATAAATAAGCCCCGGTAGTATTGAGCTTTGGGGCTGTGGCTGGCTGAAACAAAGAGAAAAGCGAGGGAGCCCAAACACGATGCACTACTTCATGGGAGGAGCTTCACAAGCATCCATTATCTCTTCAGAAGTATGGCTGTCCGTTTGAAAGGGTCTTGTTTTCCGAACGTTGCGTTTTGGTGTCAGTTCCTCGAAGTCCTGCACCTTGACGATTCGTCCAGATGTCGATCAGTATTTTCGTGGTAGCATCTTGCAGCATGCTTCTAAATTGTAGGGGATCGTTTGCCGCAAATCAGAGACCAGAGAGTCGTCATCTTCGCTCGCACTATACTATAGAGGGCTTCATGGGGCAGATACATATCCAGTATCCTCTAACTTCTGTAGGAGTGCTACGTTGAAGACAGTACATTGCCCAGGTGGGTACCTCGAAGGTCATGGTGGCATACAGCAGGATGTCTTGGATGTATCGACCCGGCGGAGAGCCTACCTTGAATGAGGTCAGGATCGTGCCTTAGTTGTTGTCAAAGCCCCTGAATCCTAAAGTCTCCTAAACCCTGAACCCTAAGCCCTAAACCGTGAACCCTAAACCCTGAACCCTAAGCCCTATAAGACCTAAACCCTAAACCCTAGAATCAGTCGTGCTCCCCTTGAGCAAAAGGCATCTCGGGAGCAGCTGGGGTTCTTCAACCCCAGATGTACAGTGTACAGCAAAGTCAGGTCTTTGAATTCTCTAACGGTCCCAGTGCCCCTTCTCAGGCTACACCCTAAACACCTGTAAACCCTAAACATAGACTTTCCCTTCCAAGCCCAAGGGGCCCAAGTACGGACTGTACAGGTAATGCATAAAGCTCTGCAGTAGTGCAGCAAGCCTTATGGCCCCATGCCTGCCGGTGGCGGCCTCCTACGAGCTCGTAGTGCTCCTTGTGGCCCCAAACCTGCAGATGCAGACGTCACCTGAGATGAAAGCAAAGCCATCAAAAAGGCGTCTGTGGGAGCCCATCGTTTTGACACAGCACGCGCTTCGTGGCTCTGCTGCTTACGCGATAGGCTGCAGTAGCAGAGCATGGTTGCAGTAGCAGAGCATGGTTCGTCTATCCATGATTTGCTACCGTCATCGCGCTCAGTCTTGATCGTCGCAATCGGCCGTCTACATGTTCTAGCTGATGCTTGTTCTCATCCCGCACTTGCACTTAGCATTGTGTTCTCTTTCGCGCAGTCAGCCTTCATCCACTAGGACATGCCGAAGCTTCCCAACGTACGTAGGTGAAATAACGGCTAACACCCATGAACGGCTATTCTACTACATTTTTTCGGGGTTCCAGTTAGGCTTTGCCTCCATACTTCAGAAGCAGGAATAGAAAAGCTCAAGGGCTGTCCATTTCGTCGTTGTTTGGCTTCGACCCCTCAACTTGCACCCTAAACCCCAGAAACTCCTAGGTCTCAAGCTTCGAGGTTAAATTTAGGGTTTAGGGTTCAAGGTTTAGGGTTTAGGGTTCAAGGTCTCAAGCTTCGAGGTTAAATTTAGGGTTTAGGGTTCAAGGTTTAGGGTTTAGGGTTCAAGGTCTCAAGCTTCGAGGTTAAATTTAGGGTTTAGGGTTCAAGGTTTAGGGTTTAGGGTTCAATGTTTAGGGTTTAGGGTTCAAGGTTTAGGGTTTAGGGCTCGAGGTTAGGGCTCCGCGCGTAGGGAATCAGTTCAGGATTGCTTCTAGAGGGGGGCTAGACTAGACTTGTACACATCCACTAAACTGTATATCCTGAGTAGCCCAAGCCCAGCCCCAGCCCTAACAAACCTTGAACCCCCTAAACCCGATAAGCCTTATCAACCCTATAGATCCTACAAACCCTATAAACCCTACAAATTCCATAAGCCCTAAACCCTAAATCCCCTAAAACCAGATGAGCCCTATAAACCCTACAGATCCTAAAAACCCTATAAATCCTATGAACCCTACAAACCCTATAAACCCTAAACCCTACCAGGGATTCCAATATCAGTGAATTAAGGAAAAATCTTTCAATCGTAGTCTACTATAATTTAAAGAATATTCCTTAATTACGGGATATTGGAGTCTCTGGCTAAACCCGCGGCCCCCTAAACCCTAAAAGCCCTAAAACCTACGACCCTTGTAAACCCTATAAGCCCCGAACCCTAAACCCTGAACCGTAGAGGCCCTAAGCCTTTAAAAAACCTATTATAGACCCCTTCCAGGCACCTTTATAGATCCCTAAAGGGGCCCTATATAAAGCCTAATCCCTAAACCCCAAACCCCTAAACCCTAAACCCTCAAGAAAGTGATAAATAGAAATTGCTTGTCCTTGTTTGTAACCACCGCTAGGGCCCAGCATTTCGGTTAAAACTCGCGTTAGCTTCTTGATAATCAATTTCGCACAACCACAACCTCAACCATTAACTCAGCCCAGCCAACTCAAAACAGCCACCCTGTCAAAAACGGAACAAGCTTCTTGATAAACCAATTTCGCACAACCACGACCTCAACCTCTAACTCAGCCCAGCCAGCCCAGGCAGCCCGGTCCAGCCCAGCCCAGCCGCCCCAACATACCGATTAAAAATTGAATAAGCTTCTTGATAAACCAATTTCTCCACAAATTTGTAACCACCATTACGGCCCAACACACCGCTTAAAATTGAACAAGCTTCTTGATAAACCAATTTCTCCACAACCTCCAACCCAGGCGCACCTTCCCATACCTCAAGCCCCCAAAAGGCCCAAAATCCAGCCCCAAATCCAGGCCCAAACCCCAAATCCAGGCCCCAGCCAAATCAGGGCCAGCCCCATCCATGCCCACCAACCCCAGGCCCAGAATCCACTAGACCCAAATCCAGGCCCAGCCCCAAATCCAAGTCCAGGCCCCAGACCCAAATCCAGGCCATCCGGGCCCCAGACCCCAAATCCAGCCCAGCCCCAAATCCAGGCTTTTGACCCCAAATCCAGGCCAACCTTCAAGGCTCAGACCCCAAATCCAAGCCAGCTGTGCAAATTTCCGAGATATGATCATGCGGCCGCTGTATCTACTGGTGTGGTGGCGGCCATAATCTCCCGGCTGCTGCTCTGCTGCATTGCGGGTTTGTTGTGGCTGCTGATATAAGAGCCATGCAATTACCGTACCTAGCCGTTTTCATTGCTCAAGCTAAGCTTCCTACATATGGCATCGGCTTCTTCGAACTCGATGAGCACAACTGCGAAAAAGCTCGCTCACGATGCTTTGAAGGCCGCTATCAGCATTTAGAATATCGCCTTTCTTTCTGTTGAGTAAAAAAAATATAACCCTGGGCCTAATATACCATAGGGGCTTCAATTCCCAACTCCTAAGGCAGCCTACAGACGCGTGCGGAAAGTGGAAAGGCTGGCAAGTCAACACGGCTGCCGTATTGCAGCAAGCCCGCGAACTAGAGTAACTAGAGTTGCCCCTGGTCGCACCCATCCGCTTTTGCCCGACGGGGAATTTTCTCAGAGTCGGTCCGGATGCACGGAAGCCCCGGCTGGCTGCGGGTTGTTCCATACCGTCGTGGCAGCGCATCAACGCCGAATCATTTTCCGTGAATTTGTGGTCGGACAGGTGGTCCTCCACTTTGCAAGATGCGGTACGAGCAAGCGCCAACTTGATTTGAAAAAACGTCGGTTTAGTTGTACAGTTGCACAATTAAAGGCGACAGTTCAGGACCTCGGCACGAAGAAGACCCAGCTTAAGCCGCTTAAGCCGACACCCAAACAAGTTGTGGTGAAGATCGAGGCCTGGGGCTCACTTATGATTAATCAGTGTAGGGGTTTAGGCTTTGGGCTTGACAATTTGAATCAGCAGGTTTAAGGACAGCGACCACGATGAGAATGAGAAGCCGGACAAGGCTTGGTGCTGGAAGGGCTAAAGCTCTAGGGTTCACTTAGTCACTGTAGGTGTGTAGAGTTTTGCCAACTGTGCTAGGACAAGAGAGACGATAACGATGGGGTCGGCCCGAGCATCGAGGCTTGGACTTAATGCTGGCAATATAAGTTCTAGGTCATTCTAGGGTTTACTTGATCGGCAAAGGGGTTTAGGGTGATTTATTTCTATCGGTCATGATGTCATGACCAGGAGAAGAAGCCTATGGACGCCGGTGCGACGAGGATCCTAGTTCGCTTCCAAGCGCTGGTTCAAGATTTTAGTGACAGCGATAGCAGCTATATCGGATCGGAGTCATCAGCCAAAAAGCCCCAAATCCAGCCCCAAATCCAGCCCCAGCCCCGCAAATAGCGCAACCCAGCAGCCAGCCCCCCTAGCCCCCCCAGCCCCCCCCTTAGCCCCCCCAGCCCCCCCTGCCCCACCCCCAAACTAGGCCCAGCTGCCCCAGCAAACAACTCAACCCAGCAGCCAGCCCCCCTGCCCCCCCAGTTCCCCAGCAGCCCCCACAGCAGCCCCCCCAAGCTTTCGTTCAAAACGTTTCCTTTCTATGATGGTTCGACCCAGCCCCAGTCCCAGCCCGAGCCCAGCCCCAGCCCCAGCCCCAGATCTACTGCTTGCACCTGTGCCTTGAAGGCAGGAATTTTGGATCCTGCGTGCAGCTGCAACATGCACATAGGGTTTAGGGTTTAAGCCCCAGCAGCCCCAGCCGTCCCAGCAGCCCCAGCAGCCCCAGCAAACAGCGCAACCCAGCAGCCAGTCAGTCCCAGCCCCCAAGCCTAAGTGGTTCCAAAACGAAAAACGTTTCGCTGAAAAGCACACATTTTTGGCGCCCTCCCCCCCAAACTCCAGGTGTGGGTTCAAAAGGGAAAAAAACGTTTCGTTGAAAACGTTTCGTTGAAAACGTTTTTGGCACCCAAACCCTTAACAATTTCTAGATATAAGACCTAAACCGTATACGAACCTTAAACCCTACATCATATAAGCCCCAAACCTAAGCCCTAAACCTGCAAAAAAACGGCGCAAAGGCTGCGAGTCTTCGAGCCGGTACTTGGGGGTTCGAAGAGCAGCGTGGAGCTCTAGGGGGGGGGGAAGGCTTGGGCTTAAGGGTTTAGGGTTTACAGTTTAGGTTCAGGGCGTAAGGGTTTAGGGTTTAGGGCTTAAGGGTTTAGGCTTTAGGCTTTAGGGTTTATAGTTTAGGGTTCAGGGCTTAAGGGTTTAGGGGTTAGGGTTGATAGTCTAGGGTTTAGGGCTCCAAGGTTTAGGGTTTGGTACTCTTGCTAGGGGTGTAGGCTTTAGGATTTAGGGCTTAAGGTTTACAGGCTTTAGTGGCGGTTAGAGTTTTGGGTTTCGTGTGGAGCGCTGGATGGGGATCCGGGATTGCTATACGTATCGCAGGTATCCGGCTTCAGGGCATAGTGGATAGGGTTTAAGGTTTAGGGGTGTAGCGGTTGCATTTGTGAACCTGCTTCATTGGACACAAGACACGGTTTGACAATGATGTTGCGTCGCAAGGCGACTGCGTGGCTTCAGCAATTCGACTTGATCGTCTCGGCTCGTACCACTGACGATGGCCATCACAATGCCAAACTTCCCTCTCTGTTGTCAGAGTGACCTCAAGCCTCAAATGTTTTTGTATGAGGGCTGCGCCGTTGTTCCACGGACAACTTTCTGACCCCGAGCTCGAAACCCTCAACAAATTCGAAACCTGGCTTGTTGTTGCATGCAGGAGCATACCCTGTTCGGAGCCAGCCCAACTCTCAGCAAGTTCCCTGCCAGTGCTCTTTGGAGGAAGGTTGAAACTCAGCGCAAAGGGCTGCGTGCTTAGGGCTGTTTAGTTCCCAGAGACTCCAATATCCCTTAATTAAGGAATATTCCTTAAATCATATTAGAGATCCTATTACAATTTGATGTAAATTCCTTAATTAAAGGATATTGGAGTTTCGGGGTTCAGGATGTAGAAGGCTCAAGGTTTGAGGTTCACAAGGCCAGAGACGTGATGTTGTACGTGCGTCGCGCAGGGCAAGCAAGGTGTCCTTAAAGCCGTCTGTGTGGAAGTACGCAACCATGACTGCAATTTGGCTCTCTCCCTCTCCCTCTCTCTCTCTCTCGCTCTCGCTCTCTCTCTCTCTCTCTCTCCCTCTCTCTCTCTCTCTCTCTCTCTCTCTCTCTCTTTCTCTCTCTTTCCCCCTATCTCTGTTTCTAGCTCTCTCTCTCTGTCGCGATCTCTATCTGTCTCTCTCTCTCTCTCTCTCTCTTTTTCTCTCTCTCTCTCTCTCTGTCGCTCTCTCTGTCTCTCTCGCTCTCTGTCTCTATCTCGCTCTCTATCTCATCTCTATCTCTATCTTATCTCCATCTCTATATAGAGACTCTATAACTATCACTATCTCTATCTCCACTATCTCTATCTCTATCTTTACCTCTACCTCTATCTCTATCTCTATCTCTATCTCTATCTCTATCTCTATCTCTATCTCTCTTCCTCTCTCTCTCTCTCCCCCTCCCGCTCCTTCCCTCTCCCTCGCCCTCTCCCGCTCCCTCTCCCTCTCTCTATCTGCTCTATCTCTGTCTCTATCTCTCTCCCTTTCTCTCTCTGTCTCTCCCCCTCACGCTCCCTCCCCCTCTCCCTCGCCCTCTACCTCTGTCTCTATCTCTGCGTCTTTCTCTCTCTCTCTCTCTCTCTCTCTCTCTCTCTCTCTCTATCAGTCCAAACATCCATCCATCCATCCATCCACCCACCCACCCATCCATCCATCAATTTATCTCTCTATCTATCTTTCCATGCAACTAGCTATGTAGCTATCTAGCTATCCAGCTATGTGGCTGTCTGTCTGTCTGTCTGTCCATGTGTTTGCATCGGTCCATGCATCCATCCATCTATCTGCAAATATCGATATGGAAAACTGACATAGAAGCGCCAATTGCAGAGATGTTGCTCAAGCTGGCTGAGGCCGCATTTTCCTGTAAACCTTCAGGTAAGAGCTGTACAGGTAAGAACTGTATAACATATGTATATATACACATTACACACACATATACATTCATTTACTTCTTCTTTGATTGTTTATATGTATGATGGTTTGTGCTGTTTTACTCCATGTACATGTGTTTTTACCTGTCTATAATTTAGTTTTATGCTTCTTTATAATGTCGTGCTATATGTACTTATAATGCTCACTTAATTAAATTATACCAGCACTAAATCCCAGGTAGCGAACCTGAAACGCAGTAACATCTCCTTGTAATATCCTTAAGGGAGGAGGGGGGTCCAAGGGGGTATATAGCCTAGTGATCCCTAATTCTCCCTAGTACTCCCTAAGGTTCCCTTACAGTCCCCTAAGGATTCCTTATACCCTCCCCCCTTGAACCACCCTCCCTTAAAGATCCTAAAATCTCCGAGGTGGCTCTTCTGCAAAAGTGCCGGAGCCCCACCTCTGGTCCTCCTGTTTCAGAGTCGATCCCTTAAAGGGAACTCCAGAAAGCTGGAATATGCACTAATGGTAGGATCCCCTATAATTTACCTTAAAGGGGTTACGATAATGATATTCCAACTTTCTGGCTTCTACTATAGGGTTTAGGGTTTGGGAATTCATGGTTTAGGGTTGATGGCTTTGGGTTACCTGGACCCCCAAAGTATGTAGAATAATGGCCTTTTATGGGTATTGGGCCATTACTTTACCTACCTTGGCGGGTTTAGGTACAGGTTTAGTAGGGGGTTCAAGATGTATGATTACGGGCTTAGAGCTAAGGTAGACGGCTTAATCTCTACTGTTCACTTAAAAACCCCTGGGCCCTGAACAGCTTTATGTTTACGGAGGAGGGGGGTGGTTAGGATTCCGGGGGCAGAGGGGCACTGCAAAAACCGATCAAAACCCTAAACCCCTAAACACCTAAACCCTAAACCCCTAAACCCTAAACCCCTAAACCCCTAAACGTTGAGATGCAGAGTCCTTGTCAGATTTTGGGGTTCACAATCTAGTAGTAGAGTAGGTAACCTTTAACCTTTCTTGGGTAGTATAGTCCGTATCTAATCCCTATATAGCCAGAAAGGTCAACCTTTAGTTCCCCATGATACCCGACAAGTAGGACAACATAACCGGGCGGGGCTCCCGTCCAATAGGGGTTTAAAGGCTTTTTATTGAAGGGGGGTTCAGGGCTCAGGGTTTGAACTGGAGGATCATGGGACTTAGTAAGTAAGGTTGTAAGACTCTAGTTTCTAAGTCCCATGATCATTTCAGTATAATTGGGCTTTTGGGTTTAGGGTTTAAGGTTGAGGGTAATGTTGAGGGCTTCCGTTCAGGGATTTGTTGCTGATGTGATCGTCCGTCCTCTTTTGTATCTAGCTTGTTTTTGTTTGCGCCGTCCTCAGAGGCCGTGGTAGGCCTGAGCAGAAAGCTATGCAAGCTGAGCTCAAGGAATTGGACCTGACAGAGACGCAGTTCACTCTTGCATGATCTCTCCATAGTTTAAACCTTACTTGGAGGATCATGGGACTTAGTAAGTAAGGTTATAAGTACTTTAATTGGGGTTATAAGTAGAGTCACCCTATTTGTATGCCTAGTTACTCAGTCCCATGATCCTTTAAGTACCCCCTAAACCCCTAAACCCCTAGACCCTAAACCCCTAAACCCTAAACCCCTAGATCCTAAACCCCTAAACCCTCAACCCCTAAGCCCTAAACCCTAAACCCTAAACCCCTAGCCCTAAACTCTAAACCCTATACCTCCTCAGCCCTTTAGTCATGCCCTGCACCGTAAACGGCAACTTTCCGCGCAGAAGGACAAGCCAAGTCCCGGATGCATAAAGTCCGATTCCCTACACCCTTAACCCAGAGAATCCAATATTCCTTAATTACGGAATATACCTGCAATTATAATCGGATCCCTCATATGATTTAAGGAATATTCCTTAATTAAGGGATATTGGAGTCTCTGGTAAGCCTATCCCATCAAGGCCCTTGCGAAAGGCAAAGATCGCGCCGAACGCAGGGGGCCGGGGACTTGTGGGGGGCAGAACCTTAGATACCCAATACCCAACCTTTAAACTTTTGGGGCTCTTATAGTTTAGTAGGAATCGGAAAGTTTAACCCTTCATTTCAGTGGCTGATTGGGGGAGTAAGTAACCCAGACCCCGGGAGGATCCAAAAAGTAGATCCCCTAATGGGGGTTCCTATACAGTACCCTTAGTAGTATAGGGCCCCAAATTAGTTGAGCTACTTTCTGGATCCTCCGGGGGTCTGGGAAACGGTGGGCTTCGTTTCGGCCATCTACTGGATCGGAAAAGAGGTCGAGCCTGGCACGCTTTGGAAATCTTAAACCCTCAATAATCCGCAAGCCCTAACTTTTCAACCCCAAACCCCACACCCGAATCTGATGGTCGTTCCATGGTCAGGTTTCCGACATGGTTTCCGTAGCATTTTGGAACTCGCAGGGTGTCGCGTCATCCCACGTTAGTTTCTCAATGCAAGATCCCTACCACGAAACCGTAAGTTGACCTTTTTGGATTTCCCGCAAAGTATCAGTATTTAAAGGGGCCTACGATCATCTGCACAACGTGTGTTTTATCGAGTTACGGCTTAAGGCTTCGGGTTTCGGATTTTGAGGGTTCCCTTTTGCAGGTTTCGGGCTCAGTGGCTTCCTCTACAGTAACATGCCTGATTTCTGTGGCGATTCCCTCATCCTCGCTGCATGCTCACCCTTCGAGGATCCGGCGACTTGTCTCCCTTGTGCTTAGAAGGGAAGGGGGGCATGGAGTATGGGGACTATTGCTGGGGATTATATAAGGGACTACTATACTTGGAGGTTCATGGGTAGTTCTACAGTAGAAGCCAAAAAGTTGGAAACCCGATAGCCTCAATCCCGAAGAGTAAAGTATAGGGAATCCCAGCACGATTTGTCCTTAATTCGGTTTCCAACTTTTTGGAGTTGCTGTAAGTAGGGTAACTATGGTTAAAACCTGTCTTAGGGGACTTATAACCCCTTATAACTACCCATGAACCTTCAAGTAGGGATCTTAGGGATCCATTCCCCCATTCCCTACTAAGCACCAGGGAGTTGTGTTGTCGGTAGCGGTTTGCATGCTTCGCGTCGCGGACACCGCGGACTTAGCCAGTCCAAAGCCATCTTGCTGAGGTGGTTAATGTAGGATGAGTTCTATAAAGGGTTTAGGGTTTTAGGATTTTAGGGTTCCGGGTTTAGGGTATAATGTAGGAAGCCGATTAAGAAGCCTTGGGCCTTTAATAGGGTTCCAATAGGGTTCCCGATTTATTGAATCCTACTATTTTCGAGGTTATAGGCCCAGGGTTTCTAATCACATTCCTACATTATGGGCCTCCTAGTTGGGATGACAGTTGCAACCCTACCTGAAAACCCTACCCTAAACCCTAAACCCTGAACAATAAACCCTAAACCCTAAACCCTAAGACCCTCGAGCGACAGAAAAGGCCCTCAAAAAAAAAAAAACAAAACCTAAGCCTAAGACCCTAAACGCTAGACTCCCTGGCTCTTTCACGGCGAAGCCCGTGCTCGGCACTTGCAAGCCTGGGGTGGGAACAAGGTTTACGATTTAGGGTTTAGGGTTTAAGGTTTAGGGTTTAGGGTTTAAGGTTTAGGGTTTAGGGCTTAGGGTTTAAGGTTTAGGGTTTTGGGTTGTTTGTTCTGAGTTGGAATCTGCAGGTCTGCCAAAGCCTCCTTTTCTTTGTAAGCTACCTTGTTCGACCCGCGTGCTACATTAAGAAATTCACAAAGAACCCAGTTGGCGGCGGGAGGTGGACTTGACCGAAGGTTAAAATGCGGAGAGCGAGAGCGCGAGAGAGAGCGAAAGGGAGAGAGAGAGAGAGAGAGAGAAAGAGAGAGAGAGAGAGAGAGAAAGAGAGAGAGAAAGAGAGAGAGAAAGAGCGAGAGCGAGGGAGAGAGACAAGGCAGAGATGCATGTTGTGCTCATGCACGGCTCGCAGAGGTCTTGCCAAGTTCGTCCGCACGAAGTCGCGATGCGTCAGTCCAGGCCATGCAGATGCAACCTGGTAGCCTATGTGTTGGTAGATTCAGCTTGAGCTTACATTGCAGCAGTTCTATGCATCTGCCTGTTTGTTCCCTAAACCGGGTCCTTTCGGTTAGTTGCTCTGCTTCCACAACCGAAAAGCCCATGGATCAAGTACCAAGGCCCAACTAGCTAGCTACCCTGCAGTAGAGGGGGAAATCAGCCCCCAGCATCATCCCAACAAGCCCGAGGCTGCAGTGGATGTTCTTTTGTCGGGCTTGAAGTCTACGGTAAAGGCGCTTCGGCTTTGGCGATTTAAAGTTTAAGGTCTCGGTGGGTGTGGAGAACGTTTTGGTTCCACGAGCCACAGCCCCAAATACCCTGACACAAGTATTCTACTCTCTGAGCTAAGACCCGAGCCTCAGCTACGCCCTGCAACAAAGTTCTGCGAACTCCAAGCCCTGAACCCCTAAGGCCTAAGCCTGATATACAGCAGACCCTAAACCTGTCAACCCCTGACAGTTAATCCTTAACCTTAAGGTAGAAGCCAGAAAGTTGGAATATGATTATCCTAACCCTTCTATGGTAAATTATAGGGTATCCTACCATGAAATCATATTCCAACTTTCTGGAGTTCCCTGTAAACAGACAGTACGTAAAGTCTTGACCCAACACCTAAGAAAGACAATTGTTCTGCATGATTGTGTGGTCCAGGCAATCCCCTGAATGCTAAACCCTAAACCCCTAACCCTCATGCAATCCCCAGAGAGCCCAATACCCCTGAAGTAAGGAATATAGCTTAAATCATAATATGAAGCCCCATATAATTTAAGCCACATTCCTTATCATCTGAGGGGTATTGGGCTCTCTGGGTCCTGAACATGCAGAAGCCTTGGGCAGGCTGTGTCGCCCTGGTAGAGCAGTCCGCGCCCTTCTTTCTTTGGGATGCTCTTGTTTAGAGGCAACCCTAAGGGTCCAAAGGACCCAATAATAATTGGGTACTCTGTCTTAGGATAGTAGTTATGTAGGTTGGGATTTCGGAGAGTATATGATTATTGGGTACTTGGACCCTTGGGGTAAGGGTCCATGTAAAGTTTAGGGTTCGGGCTGCTTTAGGCTATTGAGTTCAGTTGTAATTCAGAGTTCAGGGCGCAGTTTTCAATGTCATTGTAGAGTTTAGGGCTTGGGGTTCAATTTTAGTATAGAGCTTACGGTTCAGATGTTTTAGTTCAGTTTTAGTTCAGGGTTTCAGGGTGTAGCTTTGAGTCTTAGTATAGGCTTCAGGGTTCAGGTTTAGTGCAGGGTTCAAGGTCTGATGCTGGGGCTTTATTGGCTTCGTGTGGTGCATTCACCCGTAAACCCAAGACTAAAAAATGAAAGCTGTCATGTCCTCAAGTCTTGAGGAACACTCGCAGGAAACAAAAAGGATGATCGTCATGCGTTAATGCTCTCAAGGTGCTGTGTCCCAGGATTACCTCGCAAATTAGCAAGCAAACGACAACTTGTCGTGGCAAAAAGCATCTGCCGTGCCTGCTCCAGCTTAGCCTGTGGTATCCCTTCTGAAACCTTCTACATAGATCCACATAGAACACAATCTTTCGGAGCCCTCTCCGCCTGCCCCAATCCCCAGAAGACAAGCCTAAACCCGATGTCATGAACGCTGAGACGTAGCTCTTGATCCATGCAGGTCCATGAAACCCGAACCACCCAAATCAGTCGTTCAAGACGACAGCAGAACGCCGCGCCCAATATTTCGAGCAACTTTCAACGAACTCTCCGCCCTAAACGGAAGCAAAAGGTAGGGCTTGCCAGAAAAAGAGCTAATCCGATATCCTTCCGAGGTCTGGCAACACGCTTTGCAAGAAGTGTGCCTCGGATCCACAGCGAACCAGCGAGGTGCCTTCGGACCCAGCCCTTCTAGTACGAATGAGTACTGCATACTAAACCCTAAATCCCTAAGGGTCCATGTACCTAAATAGTATATACATTGGCCTTAAAGTATTCCCTATATGGGTACATTGGGCCCAGATATATATACTAATTGGGCACATGGACCCTTAGGGAATACAAATGCTAATATCAAGGGTCCGCAGGACCAAGTAGGTCAGATAGTTGGGTTTAGGCTTGTACTGGGTATCGATTTGGGATAATTGTTGATTCCCTATAGTCGTTTACCACATAGAGCCCTAATTATAAATAGGTTTAGAAACTGTTGAAATCAACACACAGGGAAGTTTTGTAGGTTTGAGTTTGGGTCTAGGGTTTAGCGTTTCGTGCGCCAAACCGTGTTGCACTCGCTGTGGGGTGCTTATGCACACAGAAGGAGAATTGGTTAGTGTGCGGAGGAGGAGGGCGCAACATTCCAGGCTCCCACTGTGGGGCGGCAGGGTGCGCTCAGGCCCCTTTCCACAACAGCAACAGCAACAGCACCAACAACACCGCCGCCACCCCTACCGCCACCACCACCACCACCACCACCACCACCACCACCACCACCAGCAACACCACCACCACCATCTCAACAACCACAACAACAACAGCGACAATGAAGCTTATGCTGCTTTGACTGGGTGGAAGGGTATAGGCCTTGCGATATCCATGATGGTAGCAAAGTAGCTCTGGGTAGGCTCTCATCGAAGTCACCATGCGGCTTGCGCCCCTGGAGGCAGGGTTTAGGGTTTAGGGCTTGGGGTCTACCCCTCATACCCCTAAACCCCCAATCCCAACAAGAAATTCAAGTCGTCCCTGTGGCTCAAGCAGCCAGTCAGGTGACCAGGTGTTCAAAGTGACTTCTGATCCTTAACCCTAAACCCTAAACCCTAAACCCTAAACCGGGTGTTCGGGGGGATCTGGTTTGGAGGTGCAAGTACTTCGGTGGTTCCTGCTCCCAGCCCGACTCCTACACTCGAGGAGTCGATACCTTTCTGGTTCTTAGATACGGTTTAGAGTTTAGGGTTTAGGGTTTAGGGTTTAGGGAATTCTTGACCTTTAAACTTTTTGGGTTCTCATAATTTAGTAGGAATCTAAAAGTTTAACCTTTCATTTCAGTGGCTTATTGGGGGAGTAAGGGTTGGCTCGTGCATGCGCGCTACAAGCTTTCTGATTGTTGTTTCGGGTTTCTGCTATGTTCCCACCAGCACCCCGTTTTGCCGCAGAGCATGCCCGCGATGCGAGTATTGACTTTGGGGATTGCGCAAGAAACATCTTCACCGTTCCTCACGAAGCCATCTGCAGTTATAGTACGGTATATGACAAAGTCTTGATTTGACCATCGAGTACATAGTACTTATAGAAGTCTGAACACTGGTCAGTATTATTCCTCAGGATTCCTATATATCGATACCAAAATATACAGCCCTCCCCCTCCTCCGATCCTTGTTTTACTCATGAAGGCCTCGCCATCATATGGGGGTTTCCGAAAATAGGGGACCCTAAAAGAGTAGCCTAAATAGCAGGACTCTTATTATAAGGGACCCAAAATAGGGTACCTCTAATTTTCGGAAACTCCCATATATTCGCAAGATGACTGCGTCCTGCTGCAGGTCGAATGCTCTCGGCTGCTGGCACAATGCACAAGCTGCCAGGGAAGTATCTGCCGCGACCTCCACACGCCTGCTGGCTTCAGCAGACTTCTTGGGGTGGAGTTTAGGGTTTAGGGGTCTACCTATAGTCTCCATTGTAGTTACTTTTTTTGGTTTAACCAAGTACATAATTAGGATCCCACAAGGTAACCCCAAAAAGGAACTACAATGGAGACTATAGGTAGGCTTTAGGGCATCTTGGGGTTTAGGGCATCTTGGGGTTTAGGGTTTAGAGCAACTCAGGCTCTACGACTTCGGGTTGTCGGGAAGTGGAGTTGACGGCTCAGGAACGGATACCAGTAGCCTCTGCTGGTTGTCCAAATTAGGTGCCGTATTAGAATAAGGACCCAAAAAGGGACCCTAAAATTGACAACCACCCGTATAGCCAAATAGTACACTTTATGGAGTACAGACTACCTGTAGGCTCATACCCTACCCCTTTTTTAGGATACCTACTTTTCTATACAACAGGTCCTGATCGTAAAACTAGGTATCTTAGATAAGTAGCAGGGTATGAGCCTCTAGGTTTAGAATATATAATAACGAGGAGTATGACAAATAGGACATGCAATCTGAGGTACGTTTTTTCAGAGTAGAGGAGTGCCAAAAAGTGTGAGACGTGTTTCTTCCTCCTCTCTCTAAAGGTGCCCTGGTCCTGGTTGTGTTCCCCTGAGGGTCGATGTACCCAAATGGTATATACATTGGCCTGCCTATGGGGTACAGTGGGCCCAAAGTGTATGCTATTTGGGTACATGGACCCTTAGGGTCGTTCGTTGTCTAGAAGTTGGAAGACTCTCAGTAGAATAATGCACGCCTATAAGCTATGAACCCCAAATTCCCACTATAATTGGCACCTATATCACGCTCTTCTGCTGGCAGAATTTCGGATTTGCATCAGCTGCTGCTGACACTTCCTTCGGCAACTTACCCACAGGCTCCATAGTAGTTCTTTTTTGGGATTACCTCATAGGATTCTAAATTATGAACCCCAAAAAGGGTGGAGCCTTTAGACAGCCACACACACTGCGGTCCGAATCCTGTCCTCTCGGTGGAACGAACCAAAACAGACATGGAGCTCGTGTTATGTGTAATATAGGTGCCTTAATAATTACCAATACCGTTTTGCGTGTTTTTCAGTATAATTCTAGTATAAAGTACACTGAAACCGTATTCGAATTTTGTAAGGCCTCTTTAGTAGGTGAGTTCATATATCATCATAACCAACAGACAAGAGGCGATTGAACAAAAAGCCCAGGTCCTGTGTGAACACAGATTGCCGGCGCCTCAGAGATGCGAGTGGTGGAAGATGGCGACAACACTCTGAACATGTTTTAAGTTTAGGGTTTACGGTTTAGTGGGCATGTGCTGTCTACGGCAAAAGGAGTAGTTCCTAAACCAAGAAGACAGGAACAAAAGCAGGTCCCCAAGAGCCGTACAGCTTATTTTAAATCCTGGACCCTATACCCTCCGCCCTAAACCCGACACAGAGAACCCTAGACACCCGAAACCCCAAGCCGGGTTTCGGGTTTCGGGGGACTCTCAGCTCGATCTGGAACCCCAATCCCAAAACCCCCCACGACCTTGCCCCGTTTGAACCCGTATAGTACCCAACAAGGAACGCCGCAAAGAAGCCCAGATGGTATGAGCTGTACGAGATAGGACAGGGCAGTCGGCCGGGTTTGGCCTACTTGCACGAGTTCGCCTTGAAGTTGCTTTGGCGTCAGTCGTCTCAGAGAGGTCGAGAAGTCTGGCATGCAGGCGGAAATCGAGCAAACATTTGTCCAGGCCATTACCAGGATCCACAACTTCTTCGTGGAGAAGCTGGCCGTGGAGATGTCGGTTGGCAAGCCCGGTGTGCGAAGACATCCTTGCATAGATACGGATCGAGGCCGACGGCGCCACCGACGCCGGCGAGTCAGGCTGGACAGCCCTGGCAGCCACCTGGCCGTGGAGATGAGGGTTGGCAGATTTGGTGTTCTTAGCGAGGTTTTCGCGGAATCTTGCAGGCGCGGCTGCCTTTTGTGCCTTTAACGGTTTAGGGTTTAGAAGGGTCTATGTAGTTTCGGCTTTGACGGTGGGCTCCAACCTAAGTTTCCTGAGTTGCGCAAGTCAGGCTAGTAAATGCTGTCTATTCTTGTTCCCGATCACCAACGGTAGGCTGAGTTTCTACTAACCCTAGTCCACTAAGCCCGCGAGAAAATCCTAAAACTCTCAAACACATCCCAACCCAACAGTCCTTAACCCCAACCCTATAAACCCCAAACCCACAAGCCCCGAACCTTAACCCTAAACCGAAGAAACCCCCCAAGAGCCACCATATACACCCTAAAACCCTGACAGTCCCTAAAGCCCTAACCCCTCAACCCCTAAACTCCCAAACCCCTCAACCCGCAAACCTGAACCCCTACACCCTAACCCCTAAACCCTACATGAACCCGAAACCCCCAAACCCAACGGTCCAAAGTCAGGCCCCATCTTCTTCCGCCGTCGGGAGGCCTGGCTGGAGCGACGTGAGGCAGAGGCTCCAAAGGGTTTGTGCTTTAGGGGTTTTGGGGTTTAGGGTTTAGGGGCTAGGGTTTAGGGTTTAGGGGCTTGGAGTTTAGGCTTTAGGGCTTAGGGTTTAGGGTTATGGCTTGGGGTTTAGGGCTTTCGGATTAGGGTTTGGGTGTAGGGTTAGGGTTTGGGGTTAGGCTTGGAGATTTCGAGTGTATGGTGTGTAGGGCTTTCTTTTTGGTTGATTCAGGGGGGAGGTTAGGATTTCAGGGTGCTTAAAGGCTTTTTGGAGGGCGTTTCAGGATGAGCTCCAAACTCCAACCTCTCAGCCCCAAAACCCAAGGGCATACATACACATGTAAACATACTTTAATTGCGCATGGCTCATATGTACTTGTACATGTATGATCATGATAGAAACCTCAGGACGAATCTCGAGACTGAAGTTCATTGTCATTGTAGAGGTAATGGTGTAACCATACTCCAGTGTGTTGATAGCCATATCGCATGCCGCAACTCTATGACATAGAGTTTAGGACTTGGGGCTTAGGGTGCATCCGAAGGTGCGTGCCATCGTTGAGACTTTGGGCGGTTTCCTGCGGCATGCGATATGGCTATCAACACACTGGAGTATGGTTACACCATTACCTCTACAATGACAATGAACTTCAGTCTCGAGATTCGTCCTGAGGTTTCTATCATGATCATACATGTACAAGTACATATGAGCCATGCGCAATTAAAGTATGTTTACATGTGTATGTATGCCCTTGGGTTTTGGGGCTGAGAGGTTGGAGTTTGGAGCTCATCCTGAAACGCCCTCAAAAAAGCCTTTGGGCGCTGTATTGTGAAGTGATTCTCTTGGCGTGCCTTGTCGCGAGCAATCGTGAGCGGCAAAAGACAAGCGTCCTGAAGATTAATGAGCATTTGGTGGCACGGAAGTACGGAGTGGATGAAGATAAACTCTTTCAGCCGCTCCTTGCTTTGACAAAGCCCCTCATGGAGTGAGGTCGTGCCGATGCTATAGGACGGGAGCTGCGCTTCAACAGAAAGTGTAGCATTTTGATCCCGCGCCAGAAGTCATGCTGCTCAGAGCCGAGCTCGAGGATAAAGGAAGGTTATGCCGAAGCCATCCCAATTTCAGTGTCATTTCAGGAAGGCAGCCATTTTTCTATCACTGGCAGGCTCACGCAATCTGGAGGACGTGCCTCCTGGACCCACCGCATGATATTTGCCAGAAATACATTTCCGAACAGAACTCACATTTGGAATACTTATCCCCACACCATTCTTGAACACCTCTGGAATGCCTTTTGGAACACTAAAAACTTCAATCCTGAATCTAGGCCTCAGGCTGCTCACGTAACTTGTAACTCTATGAGCCCTATCTTCCAAACACTAAACCATGGTCGGCGCCGCGGAAAAGCGAGGCAGCACCACACGTCAATCACAAATAAGACAAAAGCCTAGACTGTGAGTCTGAAGCAGCCTCATCGACGTCGGACATCCCATTCCTCCTCAGACTCCTAGTTATGCCTCAGACTCCTAGTAAGCGAGTTGACTTCTTGAATCCCCGAAATCTGTCAGGGCTTGGGGGTGTGAGGGTTTAGTGCTTCAGGTATGGATGGCTTACTCAGGGGGTCCTCTAGAACAGATCCTTTATGTTGATGGTTTATCACCATGATGCGCCATGGCTCCCAACTTGCCTCACAACCAGAAGCTCTATCCATCTCTCTCAGTCGCGAAAAGCCAACCAGTCTGGAATCTCCTAAACCCTAAACCCTACAGCCCTCAACCCTACAGCCATAAACCCTAAATCCTAAAACCCTAAACCCTACCACCCTAAACCTGCAGCCCTGAACCCTACAGACCTAAACCCTAAAAGCCCAAATAAAACCCCGAAGCCCTAAACCCCTACCCCTTAAACCCTAAGCAGCGCCAGGAGACCTTACAGGATTCTATATATGGGAGTTTCCGAAAATAGGGGACCCTAATATAGTACCCTAAACAGTAAGATCCTTAATATTAGGACCCCAAAATGAGGTACCCTGATTTTCGGAAACTCCCATATGAACCCCCAAAGGGAACTACACGGGGCCTCTGGGTAAGCAGCACCAGGAGAGATTCCAATATCCCTTAATTAAGGAATATACCTTAAATTATAATAAGATCTCTAATATGATTTAAGGAATATACCTTAAATTATAATAGGATCTCTAATATGATTTAAGGAATATTCCTTAAATTATAATAGGATCTCTAATATGATTTAAGGAATATTCCTTAAATTATAATAGGATCTCTAATATGATTAAGGAATATTCCTTAATTAAGGGATATTGGAGTCTCTGGGCCAGGAGACGTTGTGCAAGCTGCGCTCGATCGGCTCGGACTGGTGAGCGAATGGGTATGCAGTGCTCGCACAGAAACTGTCGAATACTTAAACAAGTACATACAGGCATGTATATATATATATATATGTTTATATACGTATATATATATATATATATACGTATATATATATATATATGTATACGTATATATGTACAAAAATATGATGCATAAATCTGTAGCTTTGCATCTCGGTGCTCGTGCATCCCGAGGCTAGGGATCCAGCAGTGGTATGTCGGTTCTTGCATCCAGACTTCCACAGCTACTGATCCGGATATTCGGCATTAGGGCGAGCACCGAACATCACCAAACATCCCAAAGGCCTAGCAACATGTGCGAATGCTAAGCTTAGGCGGAGCAGGACTGACCGTGCATAGGACAATGCTAACGCCGCAATTTGGAAGACAGATCACCACGCCGCCAGAAGTGATAACTCCAAGTTGGTCCTATGAGCTCCCGCTCTCGCAGTGTTCACGTTTCTGTGCATGGGGGATCGAATCAAGTTGGAGAGGGGCATGCCCAAAAAGAGGCAGCTGAGTTTGCTGTGGCATGTTCAACAGAGCCCTCTTCAGCCTGCAGGGTCTGTTTTGAACGTGACAGGCGAGTTTTTTGGCCGAGTCTCTGTCGAGACCGGATCTAGCTGGGCAGACGGATGGCGCTCTGCGTGGTGACGGCTTTAACCCAACCCCCGAGGCACTCGCACTCTAGATCTGATGCTACTGAATTCTGTACCCGAAGGCCGAAAGCTTATACGCAAACTGTATGAAATCTAAAACACTAAACTAGGTTGGATTTGGGGACATTTTCTATTTTCCTTATTTGGGTTTATAAGGGACCCTGTATATAAATATTTTTCAGGGTGTTTAAAGGCCAACCCAGTAAAGCCGACCTGTGCACCAGATCGCTGCTGATGACGCCACAGTTAACGAACTCATCAATGCTTGAAGTGAATTGCGAAAAGGCTCAGGTTTTCAGGGTTGGATCTGCTGCCAGCGATGCCGGTAAAAAGTTCAAGCTGGTGTTGGGTTGCGGTTCCGGTCGTGCTTGTGGTTGTGGTTGTGTTAGTGATTTTGGTTGTAGTTGTGATCGTGGCTGTCAATTATAGATGCGGGTTGTTATGGTTGTTGTGGTTCTAGATCCGGTTGTGGTTCTGGCTGCGGTTCCCGTTGTGCTTGGTGTTGTTGGTGTTGGTGGTGGTGTTGTTGGTGGTGCTGTTGCTGGTGGTGCTGTTGCTGGTAAGTGCTGTTGCTGGTGGTGCTGTCGTTGTCGGTGCGGTTGCAGTTGCCGCTATTGTTGTTGTGGTTGCGGTTATTGTGGCTGTTGTTGTGGTTGTGGTTGTGGGTGGGTTGTGGTTGTGGTTGTGGTGGCGGTGGTGGTGGTGGTTGTGGTGGTGGTGGTGGTTGTGGTGGTGGTGGTGGTGGTGGTTTTGGTGGTTTTGGTGGTTTTGGTGGTTTTGGTGGTTTTGGGGGTGGTGGTGGTGGTGGTGGTGGTGGTGGTGGTGGTGGTGGTGGTGGTGGTCGTGGGGCAGGACAGCGGCGTCGTACTACAAGTAGCTCTAACTGGACCTTTTCGAGTAGAAACATGTGACATCGCTAATCAGCACGGCAAGCTTTCCCATAGTTCTGGCCGCCATGAAAGCATGTGTTATGAATGGACGCAGGCCTGCACTAGGCTAGGATCAACCAAGTGTGCCCTGAAGCAGGCTGCGACGAGAGCAAAACTGCAAAGTGAGTACTCACGCATGGAGGTCAAGACGGCGAATCTTCACTGCACTAAGCCTGAAACGTAACCATACACGGTCAACCCCCAGATGAATGCAATTGGACGAAAGATTGAATTTGAATGTTCGCTGGGCCGATGTGAATGATCTTCGAGGCAATCCCAAAGGCTCTATGTACCCATACAGTAGGTACTTAGGCCCTAAAGTACCCATATAGTGACCCCTTTAAGGCCTAAGTATCGACTATATAGGTACATGGAGCCTTAGGGAATAGTTGAAAGTGTGTAATGTTGCTCTGAGTGACTCTGGCGTTGGCTCTCGATCTGCTCTTGTACACAGGAGTGTGTGCACGGTCTAAACCAAGGCGTAATGTGCAGAGCAGATTACGTGCAAGTTTGTGCCAAACACAGATCGCAACGGTCAATCCGAACCCCACCAAGTAACCATTCTGGTTGACCCCTTGCAAACCGCGAACTTAGCCAAGCCCCAGGTAAGGAGTCAGACATGTTGGAAGTAATGGCTGGACCAGTGTAAGCCATCATGGCTCTGGCGGACGCACAGCTTGTCGAGAAGGAGGACTGGTGAAGGGCAAGACACCTATGAGAGGGTCCATGTCCCCAAGAGTCTCCCTGATCCTAACTGCTAGGTCTGTCCAACATCATGTGATTCCGAGTCGCTCCAGGGCTTTGTTTCACGTAGGTTAGAAGCTTGAACCTTTTGAAATTATTTCGAGCGCCCTGCTACAATTCTATTTTGACATACCTCTAACCCTGTTCAAGTACTTGAGGCCCCTGAACTGAATATTTTGCCGGAAGCCCCCCACAGGAATCTACGCTTGTGTGATCAAGTTCTGCACAGTATGCCCCCTCTTGGAGGTTCAAGGGTAGTTATATGTAGGGTTATAGGTAGGGTAACTATAGCTATAACCGATTAGGGGACTTAGAACTCCACTTACAACTACCCATGAACCTCCAAGTAGTAACTCAGACCCCCGGGAGGATCTAGAAAGTAGATCCCCTAATTTGGGGCCCTATACTACTAATTATGAACCCCATACCCATGATCCTCCAAGCAGTGCTTTGCTGCTTTCCCTGACTGCAAAGATTAGCGCTGTTTGGGATGGCACCTGAGTGTACTATAGGGACCTTAAGAATTAGACTAGGGTTCCTTACAGCGGTCGAGAAGGGTTACTTCAAGGGCTATTGTAAGGATTTAGTATAGGGGCCTTAATCATTACCTATACCATTTTCGCGTGGTCCTTAGTATAATTGTAGTATAATGGGCTTTAAAACCCTGTTCTAATTATTCAGTCCTCTGTATTACAGGGCCTGCAGTTTCTTTTTAGTCGGAGGCCTTCGAGACTTGAAGCATGGTGTTTAGACTCTGGACTGCATCAGGGTCAAGAAGGAATCCTGTCGTCGAACGTGGCTCAGAGAAAATACTTTACATTCCATTGGCTTCCAGAACCCTAAGGGTCCATGTACCTAAATAGTATATACATTGGCCCTAAAGTACTCCGTATATGGGCACATTGGGCCCAAAGTATATACTATTCGGGTACATGGACCCTTAGGGGAAGTCCCGGCGAAGTCTTGCTTATCGCGCTCGCGATGGAAATTAGACATTCGTGCTGTCACCCCGGGTACAAGACATGCCAACTCTCGTGCCAAAAAACGAGTGCCTCAAACCGCAAGCCCGAACACCCTAGCCATCCTTAGTGCCTACGCAGAGGCCCCATAGTAGTTCCTTTTGTGTTTCTTAGGGTTCCCTACTTTAAATATAATTACTAGAATATACCCCAAAACCCTAGTCTAGTTATGAAGGCCCCTTGAAACCCCACGAAACCTCTGCCGCCCTTGACCAACTACGCCCTCGGACCCTGAATTCTAACTTTAAA